GGCCTGCTCACCACACTGTCTGCAATACAATCTATACTGTAATAATACTTGGGATTGTGAAACCGTTTTGAACTAGGCCTAGTACATCCGAATTAAAATGTTGTAAATGTTTTTCTATATTGAAGGCCATCTGCCCAATCCTCTCCTCCTCCTCTTGTGGTTTTGAACAGACAACACTGATGTTACTGTATCCAACATTGAAAAGTGAAAGCTGCGTGCAAATCTTTAACCCGAGAAATGCATTCATGCACTAAAACAATTTACTGATTACACACTCATTTGCATGCATACAGAGGTTACATTTTCTCACAGCTATTTTTTCAACTTTTTTTTTCATGCAATGCTAGTATAAATAAATACATGTAAACATTTTTGTTCTTTCAGAGATGAATATGATTTAATTCCATTTATTGAAACACAGGATGAGAAACATTTATTGGTTGAAAATCACAAGTTAGCAATTAATGCCTCTATTGTTCCAACTTTTTACATCTTCATATATAAACTACTACTTGAAATACCAAGGCCATTCCAAGCAGGTGGGGTTCATTTCATTTTTTTTTTCACTTTCCTTTATACAGTTACCAAATTTGTCATCTTGGAGTCATGGAAACGTTTCTGCAACGTTAATTTTGCTGCTTTTATGTGAATCTTGTACCCTTATATGCATCTCTAAAACATAATACATATTCTTGTAATCTATTTTTCCATTTAATTTTTCCTGATGATGACATAATTAATGTTGAAATATTGAATCCCAACACGATAGCATGTATTTCAATACTTGGAGTACATTATGTATTGAACTTTCCTATTTTTCCATCCTTTCAAAGTTTTGAAACACTTGTATTCTAATGGAATACTGGAATATTTCAGAGTGCTTCCTTCCATCTGGCACTAAATCTTAAAGTACTTTATTTTACAGGTCATTCTCTGCTTTCTGATAATGAATTGAAAGCAGTCTCATATAGCAGAGCTGTGATACTTGTTAACCCAGAAACTGCAACTGCTTGGAATATAAGGTACAGTATTGCAATTAAGATTTCTGATAAAATATGGACACTGTTGAGTGGTATATATAGGGGTGTTGAAAGGGGGGCTGATGCAGTGCAAGGGTTGGCACCAGCAGAGGGGCCACGGCCCCTGGTCGGGGAAAAAAAATCACAATTTGTCGGAAAGAAAAAAAAATTATATTTATTTTCTACATATTAGTAGACTCTAAAATCGATTAAATAAGCCTTTAAAACCCCTAATTTTTCAAAATTGGACCACTTTCAAAACCTTTTATTCGAAGCTTGACCACTCCCACTTTGCTTTCGGGGAAATCTGACCCCTCAACAGGGGCATCATTCC